TTTTACGTTCAGACTGAAACAAACTGTAATGCTTATGTAACTGCAGAGGCTTATTAAAATTATTTATTTTGTGGGTTCTCATAAGCAAGAAACTGTTTTAGTTGTCAGTCGGTCCAATAATTTGTTCTTGAGGTAGTCAAAGCACTCTATGTACAAGAAGTTAAAGCTAGATAGTATTCCATTTATTCACCAGAAAGAATTTTATACTTTTTAAAATTAAAATTTAATTTTCTACTTTAATTTTTCTACTTTAAAATTTGACTCGCTAAAAGAGTTGTTCTCATCAAATTTATTACATACTTGCTTGGGACCTAAAGTATTTAACGTCATGTGATTGCTTTGAAATGTAAACAAAAATTTACGCAGTAACTAGAAAAATTTGTTTCTAAACCAGCCAAGTTTGAAAACATGTCATAACATAGCTAGAGGTACATACAATAATTTTTTGATTTTTATATGTTTAAAGGGTTGAAATTTCAATAATTTGGTGCAGAATTTGAAAATATTTCGATTTGCATTTTAAATTAATAAAACTAAAAATATAAATGCATAGAAAACTAACTTTTTAAAATATATTAAAAATTCCACACCAAAAATCAGATAGAAGGGACATTTATTGTTAAGTGTTCCAAATTTCAACCATCAAGCATGCAGCTATGTTATGAAATCTTAGTTGTCCCAAGAAAGATTTTTTGTAAAAATCGCAAAAAACAGAAAAGTGATCTCAAATCAATAGCAATATTTACTTTTATTCTGTTTAATGTAAATATTTATCTAACAAAGAAAGATAGATCTTTTATATTTTTTATTTGAAGATGAAAGCGCTTACAGAAAAAAAAACTAATATTCTAAAGTTAATGCACTTTTATACTTTATATGCAAAAAATCTTTTATGCGAAAATTGTTTTAGCTAAACTTGTGACGTAATGCCCAATTTTACATTGCGTGAAACAGCTGTGTAATGGTAAACTTAATAGATTGAATAGGTTAACTTAAATAGATTTACTCAGATTAATTAATTTAGATAAATTTAAATAGAATTACTCATCTCAAACTTTACCTTAAATATTTGTTGAATGATCACAATTTTCCCAGAGATTAAAATCACTGGGAAAAGTGTGCAACGGAAAAGTTTGCTTGACTGAATTTTTGATTGTGGAACACTTTGATTACTTATTTAAGGTGTTTTGGATTTTTAATTTGGAGTATCCTTATGGTTTAGAGAAATTTTTGCAACTTCAAATATAATTTAACATTTAACAAGGAACGAATGGTTGTCACCATCAACAATGTAGCTCGACTTTTTCGAGGGCTCGACTTGCGCCGGCCCTGATCACCACTGATGATAACTGAAAGCTTGGCATAGTAAAATGAATAAAAGTGTCAACAAACTTGTATAATTACTTCAGTTTTGTTATTTTGTGTGCTCATGCAACAGTTATTACATTGTATTAGCTTAAATTTTTGACTGCATAAGTGGCCAAAATTTCAATCATTGTATACTCATGCTGCAGTTGTTACATTGTATTTACACGAATATTTAGCTGTGTAAATTAGTTTTTAAATTTGTATGCATGTGCTGCATTTATTACATTGTATTCACTTGAATACTTGGTTGTACAAGTGGCTGTGTTATTTTGCTCTTGGCTCTTGCACAGTTATTATATTGTATCAATTTATTTTTGTGTGTAATATTTAGTTGTGTAAACAATTTAGTCTATTTTAATATTTGTAATCTTGCGACTTGTTTTCCAATAAGTTATTATTGTAGTAGCCACTTTGCTGTAAACTTGTCACTTTTTGTGATTTGTGAATTTATTTAATGCGTTTGATTTGATAATTTTTTTGGATCTTGGGTGCTACCCATCGTACAACTATTTTGTAATTTAGCTTTAGTACATGTTTCAAAATAATAACCTTAACGTTGCCAAATGACGCGATTTTGTTTTGAAGATAAGCAATTAAAACATTTCTCTAATATTGGTTTTTGAAACCAGGAAATGCCCTTAATTAAATTTCTTAATGGCAGGAATAATTGCCTCATTTATATTCTATGTTGTCAGGAAATTATCCTTTAATTGCAATCTTTAATGCCATTAAAAATTGTATTAATTAAATTCCTCAATGTCGGGGAATATTGCCTAAATTACATTCCTTAATGGCAGGAAAAATTGCCTTAATTACAATTCTCAATAAAAGGAAAAATTTCCTTTGATTATTTAATTACATTTAGGAATTTTTCATTTTTAAGGAAACTATTTATTTAATTATTTCCCTTTTTTAAGGAAATTTTTTTCAAGGAAAACTATTTCATTAAAATTATACTTCCTTATTTTAAGGAAATCATTACCAGTGCTGATTTTGAGGGATTATTTCCTTATTTTTTCCCTTAAAAATAAGGGAATTTTTTTTGAGTGTATATATATATATATATATATATATATATATATATATATATATATATATATATATATATATATATATATATATATATATATATATATATATATATATATATATATATATATTTCTAAAAACAGAAAAAAACTTAAAAGTAAAAAAACTTGATACACAAAACATATGCAAAACTAGTTCTTACTTTGTGAATTTGCATCTGGAAATTGATTTCTTTATCATTAAACTATAAAATAAACATTTTTAAAATTAAAATTTTCTTTAAAAAGAAATTTCTAAAAAGACTGCAGGCAAACAAAAATAAATAACAAATATAGAAAACGATTTCACCAAATTTTAGTCTATTGTTTCATCCTCTTTATTCTTCAACCTTTTTATTTTTTCTCTTCTAATTACTTTTTTATTCAGCAGAAGGAAAAATTTTGAAATCATATTTCTAATTTTTATTTCAAAGTTTTAAACTTTAACAACAAATTAAATTTTTAATAAAAATTTTTTAAAAAATGACATAAACATGTTAAGGAATGAAGCTCAAGTTTTTTTCATTTTTACTTGAAAGCAACTCATTGAACAGAAACCAAGATAACCAAAATGAATAAATTTTTTTTAAAACAAAAAATAGTAAACAATATAAAATAGTAATAACAATAATAACTTAAATAATATTAAAAATGAAAAGTAATGCCTGCATCTCCGCGAGTTCTAATTTTCTTCGTAGCTCCTCAATTTCTTTTATTAACTGCTCTGTTAAATGATCCCTAAAAAAATTCAAATTTACTGTTTAAAAAAATATTTTAATGCATTATTGAATTAATACAAAAATAAAGTCAAAATTTGGTAAAATATTTAACTGAATCTAATAAAGTTTAAATGCAATTAACAACAAGTAACAATAAACATAATAATCATATACCTTTTTTCACTTTCAAGAAAAATTAAAACTTTAATTTATTATATATAATAAATATACATTTTTAAATAAATAATATAAACTTTTAATATATAAATTATTTCATACTTACTTTTAATACTTAATTCTTTTTATTTTATATTTATTTTGACAAAAAACGATTTTTTTAAACTAAAACTTATAAAAATAAGTGTAATGTATTTTTATTTCTGCACAGTTGCCAGTCAAGACAAAAAAAAAGATTAAACATACGCTTTAGTATTGAACAATTCATTTCTTTAAACACTTGCAATAGATCATACATTGTATGTCTTGAATTGCATGGTTGGTTTACTAGAATACTCATAGGAAAACGCTAAATCCAAATTATCACATTGTTGATTACTTTTGCGAATAGTTAATAAATTTGTTAACAATTCAACTAATGCTATTATACATTTGCATGCAAGTTGCATGCAAGTATTATACATTTGCATGCATTTTATCTATGCAAATGTATTTTTCTTGTAAGAGAGATGATTCTAAGAATAAGTTTTAGATTGAGTTATTGAGAATAAATAACTAAAAAGATATGAAAAAAAGTAATTTTTAGATTACTTGACTACATTAAGGATACAGGTATTATTAATTCCAAGTCTTTATATAAAATAACAACAATGGACTATGGGCTAATAAATAATTTGTTCCAAAACTTTAAACGTTGTATATTGTTTTTTTAATGTAGTCCAGAATTATTTCAACATTTTTTTGTATCAAATATATGTACATTTGGTGGGTTTATATAAAAACTAAAAATGGTAATTACTACATAACTTACTAGCTTGTATACTTACATTCTATGTAAAATGCATACTTGCATTCATGTTAATGTCTAAATTCATTGCAGTAAATATCATGTTATGTTGTACTAATTATTTAAGCAAAATCAATTTTTACTTGTATCAAAATTCTAACTTTTATTTTGAATTATAGTCTTAAATTATTTTAAAAACATCTTTTTTTACCTTTCATCATCATGAGGAAGCAGTGGAGCCGGTTTAGGCTCTTCTTTAATTATTTTGAGTTCTTGTTTTGTTTGATATTTATCATTAAAAAAATTTGGTGGAGTCTGGAAAAAAAGGCAATAATACAATAAAAATATTTAACTTCTATTAACAAAAGAAAATTTGCTAATTAATTTTCAGCTTTTACACAATATTTTAGTAAAATAATATTAATTAACATTGCATAATTTATTAATGCTTAATAGTTAAACAAATAAAAAAAAATTTCACTTCAGGAATAACTGGAATTCCAATAACATTTGCAATACATGTCATTACTTCTGAATATGTACAAAAAGTCTTCATTCTGAAAATAAAAAAAGTTAAACATCAAAACTAAAGTAAAACAAAAAGACAAGCCTGTCTTTTCATTTTACATTAGTTTTGTTGTTTAAATTTTAGTAAGGCTCACACTCTAGTATTAACTACTCACCTCTTGTGGTGGATGTTAAACCTTTCTCTGAAACCTTCCAATGTGTCATGAGGAACTCCTTCAAAACAAAATATTAATGCAAAAACAAAGTGTATATATATATATATATATATATATATATATATATATATATATATATATATATATATATATATATATATATATATATAAAATAACAGCAACAGAAAATAACAATAACAATCTATAATTTTAAAGTTTTTAAACCTAAATAATTATAAAAAAAAGTTTCAAAAAATTAAAATTTTTTTATATGGGAGATATCTATGGATATAGTTTATTTGATGCAATATATATATATATATATATATATATATATATATATATATATATATATATATATATATATCAATTTTAATTAAACATTAACTAAGTTAAATAAACTTTATTTATAAATATTTAAATAGTGAAAAAAGTTTACTGTTCAAGTTGTAAACATGTTATTGTTAAGAATTGTTTTTTAAACAAAATTATTAAAAACATTTCAAACATTTAGATTAAATAAAGTCAATAGTTTACTTGAAAACTGTTAATTTTATTTACTTAAGTCTGCTGAAACTTTTTTTTATATCTTGTGTTAGTTTATTATATCTTGTGTTAGTTTATTATATCTTGTGTTAGTTTATTATATCTTGTGTTAGTTTATTATATCTTGTGTTAGTTTATTATATCTTGTGTTAGTTTATGAAACACATTTAGGAGTTGGAGAACACCTGTTTAAAAGTAGTTTTAAAAAACTCCTGTTTATATAAGTATATGTTTGTATATTATATATTACACTATAGCTGAACACTATACATACAGCATTTTAACTATTAATGCCAAAGCATTTGAATCTGTTTTACCACTAACTATATAATATAATCTTGATGTTAAAAATTAACTAAAAGTAACCATACATACTTTTATGTAGCTTTTCAACCACAAGTACTAAGATATCATAAATTCCACTGCATTCCTAAAAGTAAATATTTTCAAAGTATTGTCATGTTTATTACCATTATGTTTATAATGTACATAGTCAGTTTATTAGATTATTTTTATAATCATAGTAAGATTATTTTTTTTATTTTTGTAACACTACAAAAAAAAACTGACTGTGAAAATCATAAACTTGATGTTTATGATTTTAATAGTCAGTTTTTTTGTGTAGTGTTGAAAAAAATTAAAAAAACATACATTGAGCATAAAAATAACTTTAACCCAAAATGTAGTACCTGATTTATAGCCAATAAAAATTTACTTCACCTACCTAGTAGCAGTACAGTCTACAGACGTTTGCTCTTTTAATAATAACTATTAATAGTTCTATTTAATTGTAATTTATTTAAATGTATTTTTTATACTTGCATTTTTTATTTATTTATTTATATTTTTTGAAAAAATATTATGGTTTTCTTAAATTTATTTTATAAAAATTTATGCAATTTCACTATATAGATCTAAGTAAACACACATCTTAATTTTTTATAGAAACCACAATTATTTTTATAAGTTTTCTCAAAATTTATTTTTAAAGAAAAATTTAAACATTATAATTATGCATGTAAACTGCTAAGCATTGTAATCTCACATCTAATAAATTTTGACTCATAAACAAATTTAAAAACACTTTTACAACAATTTTTTCTTTGTGTTTTTGAATTTTTTTTTAAAGATTTTTTCAAGAATTTTCTTTGCTTAGCATTCACCAGGAGTTGTTTACTGAGAGTATAGGAACTTCTAGAGTTTCCGTGAGTATCCCAGACTCCTCAGAAGTTAATGTTTAAATAAAAAAGTTAATGTGTAAATTTGTATAAGTTTAAGGACTTATACCTGCATTCCATATTTAGCTTATTATTCTTTTCATCCTATTAGTGATTCACATTTATGAATTTGTATATGAAAACATAAGAATTTAAATTCTCTGGCCATATAAATTTAGAAAACTTCAAATATCTTAAATTTTTTTGACTTTAATATGACTATAATATTTAATAATTTAATGACTTAACATTTCTAACATTTCTAACAAAACTCCAATTTTTTCTTTGAAAACTCTGTTTTAAGTTCTTACTTTTAAAATAGGAAATAATACAGCAATCTTGCATTGTGAACTTGCAGTCTGTGGATTATTTTTAGACTTGTCCAAAGTCTTTAAAACTAAAAATAAGTTTTAACCAAATAAATATTATATGAGTAATCAATCAAATTAAAAATATTTATATTAAAAATGATTACTATTTTCTTCAAATGTTAAAAGCAGGTCTTGATAATCCAGACACTCAACTGCAAATGTAAATCTAGAAAGCAGTATATTACTCAAGCTATTTTTGTAGGTAATCAATTTTTTTTACTAACAAAGGCTAAAAGGATTCAAAAGAAACATCAATAATTGAACAAGTTTAAATATTAAAAAATTTCTTTAACATATTTACACTTCATTCACATCACTATCTGGAATTTTCATTGTGGTTTCAGATGATGATGTAAAAGCACCAGGTATTCCAGGATACTAAATTTGAAAAAATTAAACAAAATAGAACATTTGTACAAAGTTACTAAGTATTAAGAGTATTAAGATAACCAAGTAACCTAAGTAAATTTGAAAGATTTATTTTTAATATTTTTAGAGATTTTAAAACTAGGGAATAAATAATTTACCTTAAGCAAATAATTGTTTAATCTTATGCAATCAAATA